AATAATAATGATAATAATAATAATAATAATAATAATAATAATAATGAGCGTACTATACGCTGTGAAGTGGAATATCGGATATGCGTTATTTCGACGATCGATCTTTGTTTCCGATCTCTCATTCGCTGTTATGTTCAGAACGGAGCACATTCCCTGCATCGAGGTTTGATGTTGGCCGTGGTTAGTATTTATATCATAAATATATACAGGCACGATCGGTAAAAAATATCGGAATGACTCAGCTGGCACGGGAAGCTGCGCTGCAGTATGACAAAAGAGTCAGTTGCTTCCCTGTTTGTTATTTTAAATATTATGCGCTGATACCAATTTTCTTGTAGGCTCGAAGTTAATTAAACCGCTCTACATACATGACACGCACACACATAGGCCAGATAATTGTCGGTTGTTGTCGTATCAAAGAAATAGGAAATTTGAATTATGGCAATACTATATTGATAATACGGTCGTAACTGTTTGATCGGATATTGCACAACGAAGACAAAGACGCATTATGAAAGTATATGTCTCGAAAAATTGCTTGGGTGTTTGGCAGTGGAAATCTTCCTAAATGCACGATTCTAATTGCATTCGTCGTCTTTGCTTTCATCGGCGGCAATGAGAAGATAACGCGACGCGAAGATATCCCGATAGAAAGCTAACAAATGAAAGAAACTGACGAATCTCTTCTCGCGCGAGCTGAGCCGCGTGGAATGCGGAATGTAAAACTATGCGAAAAGTAAATGAGCACTTTGTTTCCCTCCATTATATACAAGCCTGCCACGCGTATTTTTGTACCGGGAGAAGTACGCGCAAATTCGATGAAATGCTCGACTGGGAGTATCAATTAAAGAATAAAAAAAATTTTCGTAAGTCATTTCTAAAAGATCTGTTACTCAATCGATTTATCTTTAATGGGGACATTAGATACGAGATGAGTCGAGCGCAGTATTATATATAATTATATATAGTACAATGTTATATATATAATTATATAGTAGATTGTACTTTTTTTTAACATCGTCTTTGGCGCATAAGAAATCACGCTCGAGAAAATTGGTTCCAATTCGAATTTCTTCTCTCGATACAAACAATTCGATCCGTCTCGATTCGACTCTGTTTCTTTCAGTCTCCGCCTCTCTAATTTCTACTCATTTATTCCTCCCACGGCCAGTAATCGTTTTCGTAACGAATTTAAATCGCAGTGATGGAAGACGCCTCAAACCGGTCGTAACTATGCTTCAGTTTTCCTTGAATTAAAAATTTTAAAGGCAGAGACTAAACTAAAATTCAAAGCTAAAATCAGATTTAGAATATAAATAACTTCGTATTATACATACGGAATCATTCTGTCGTCTGTTTCGTCATATTTCTTGTTCTTCTATCTTTTACATCCTTCCTTTTTCCTTCTATCGTACCGATTCTTTCATTCTATATAATCTTCCTTATGCTTCCTCTTGCATGCGTACACATATACACACACACTCACACACACACGCGCGCGCGCGCGCGCGTGTTTCTTCTCTTCCTCTCATCCTACATCAGTCTCTGTCTTGCATCACGCGCATACAAATAGACACGCGACACTCGACATATACTCATATACGCATACACTCATATACACATACATTCGACTCATACAAACACGCATAATACGTACACGTATTGCGGATGGACGTAATGGAGGGTATAAGGCTAGCCTAAAGACTGCATTTTTATCCGTTAATATTAAAGTGTGCACCACACACGAAGCGTTCGCGCCATAACGACGTGTTTGTTTCTCATTCACTTCTCGTTGCCGCCGTTCTGCTATTTGCTGGCATTTGTTTCTCTTTCGTTCTCTCTCTCTCTCTCTCTCTCTTTCTCTCTCTCTCGGATGTTCTCGCTCTCTAAACGTTCTGTGTTATGCGTTTTTTCGTCCATCGCGAAAAATACGATCTACATATTCTGGATGTCATGCAGGGTGGCTTCCATCTCTTCCTGGAGCAATTTGTTTTTCTCTCTCTCGGCTGCGAGGTCGTCTGCAAAGATCACTGGTTAAAGGGAAGTAACACACGGCAAGCCACACGCGAGCGTAACACACTGCGTTTCGGCGGTTAGATGGATCAATACGCAAATAAAATATGGCGCACACACACGCACACACACACGGTAAAAAGATGGGAGAGTATCCTTTACGATTGTCGAATCGTTATATCATTAATATATAATTCGAAAAATTCATTAAGATAAATTAAGAAAAAATTAATTTGAGCTTTCTAGATAAAAACATTCTTGTTACTAATTTCTTTGGTCCATTATAAAATTCATAAGCAGTTAATCATTGTTTTTTTATATTGTTTTGGTCTACAAGCAATTGATATCAGAAGTTCAAATCTTTTCAAGTATGCATGGTGATTCTTTAAAAACCTAGCTACTTGAATAGAAAATGATTTCTGATTATTTATCAACCTGTACAAAGGTTTTCCTGAATTTCTTTCTCTTTCCGCATAATAAAAAATTTAATTCGTATTATAAAATCATATTTGAGATAAAAAGTGTCTGTATTAACACATGTCAATGTGTTTATTTAAAAAAAATCTAAATATTCAAAAATTTCTTGAATCAATCAATAAATCATATTACAAAAAAAAAAATAGAATGAAAATAATTAATATGTCAATGTATATGTGTTCCTTTTTAACATACGCACCTTCGAGCCTATCAACTTCCTTCTGGAGTTTCTGCACGGATCTCTCCGCGAACTCGGCACGTGCCTCAGCCTACGCAAATATAATAATTTATCAATAGGAAATTCGCACTTTCATGAAATTATCCATCGATTTCAAAGAAAGGAATAGAAAAAGGAAAAACAATTATTCATTTTAATTATCTTACGGAATATGCATGAATTAGATATATTATTCAATAAGACTTTTAATCGTTTCGTTTCCTTTTTTTTGAAATCGTTGAGATAATTAATAATCAGTAACTATTAAACGCTTCACGCCATGCAAGTAAAACAAATTTCACGTCACACATGACCGCAGCTGCATATGAATCTAAATCTAGGCTTTGAAAGGTTTAGTTGCGACACACTGTATTGCACGATTAATATGCTATTATCGAGAACAATGCCTCACTCTCTCTCTCTCTTTTTCGGACTATACACTGACTAAAAAAGAAACTTACGATACTTGACACGTTTGCATTTATCTCGTATCTCGTGCGATCTAGATTTCTAGATATTTACACGGAAAGTTTCATGTGTGTTTTTTTCATAGATTTATACTTTACGTACAAGTTAGCAAATTAAAATTATTTTCTCTTGGAGTTACTTATCATATTTAAGTATCACATTTATTTTATCTTACATCAATTTTATACATACTTTTACTACGTTTTATTAGTAATATAATCGAGATGAAAGTAGCAATTTTCCGATATACGTTTATTTTACTCCATAATAATCATCATAATCCTGTTCGCTTTCACTTACCTCTTTCAATTGACTATCGAGAATCTTCACTTGGCCCTCGAACGTCTCCTCTCGTTGCGTCGCCTGTTTTTAGTCAAGCACAACAAAAGACAAAACGAGCTTTCGTTAGTTCATCACACGCAGAAAAGAACATTTAGTTACTTCTTAAAAAAAGAAAAAAAAAAAAAGGGGGGAATTCAAATGCAAAACGATAGGGGCGCGCGAGTTAATATTTTAGTGGCAAGACCTACGACGCGAGGATGGATCACTCATTCATCAGAAAATGCAAAGCAAGACACTCCCAAAGGATTTCTACCTCCTTTAGACGTGTAGTAAGGGTCTTAATTTGGTTCTTGTATTCCTCCTCGCGCTGGTTGGCCTATGTACAATTACGTAAATATTATTTCTCATACGATGATTTTTTTTTTTTCAGGACGCGCTGGCTATAAAACATCTTATAATCTCGCTTAATGTCTTTATCTCAAAATTAATTACGATTAACGCTCGGTCCAATTATCGGCACATATTTCTTGGATAATTTATAATTTACGGTCAAATTATTAGATATTATAAAAGCGGTATATCTTAATGTACTTTCTATCCATAATATTTTCCGACAGTTTAGGCACGGATTAATTGCTCATTAAGAAAATAATTGTAATATAAAATGAGAATTGGGAAGGCGATATAATTCACGGAATTATGTTCCGTTCTGATTATGTTATACATGGCGCGTAAAATGAATCATTTACCTTTTCCTCGGAGACCTCGAGGGACTTCAAGTTATTGCCGACGACACGCAATTCTTCTTCAAGCTCGACAATCTTGCTGTAAAGTTAATTAACTATTTAATATTGAAATTTGTGGATCATTACAACGCGTAAGAATAAGATATCACAATTGCAGACAAACATTTTCGATATTTTTATACATATTTTTTATGTTTTTAAATTATTGTATCAATTTAAGAAGAAATTATGACGTACAGTAAATTAATAAAATTTATCTCAAAAAGCGAGCTAAAAATTAAGATAAAGGAAAATTCAAATATTTTGAAATTTCTTTTATCGATAAAAGTACTTTTAAGTATTTTAAGTGGTTCACAGCCAATCAGAAGGCTTATTAGAGATAAAAGAGAATATCTAAAGTCTCTACCGTTTCTACCGTAACATCTAATTTTTTGTTTACTGGTGAGAAATTTTTTGTTTTTCTACATTTTTCAAAATTATATATTGAAATGTTCGTCTGTAATTTAAACTTCTGGAAGGATGTAACAAGCGAACGACGGCAAAGGAGTCGCATAGTGTTGCACGATAGGAGAAAAGGGATACGGTGAACACATGCATGTGATTGCACTTACGATTCGGAAAGTTCGGCCTTCTCTTCGGCGCGTTCAAGATCCTGTTCCATCATGACTAGTTTCCTGGCAACCTGTGATCAACAGCCACACGTGTCATGCACAAAAGCAAAGGTGATGGAAGTGGGCACAAAATAGTAAATAAAAAAAAAAAATAAAAAAATAAAAAAAATAGCTTAGCATGGTGTTAGCATGCAGAGACACATATAAATCCGGTGTCATCCTGGCTCCTAGGACTCCTTTGAACCAACTTAAGAAAGATTAGTCGAGTGCATTGTGTGCCACAACGTTAACTAAAATTACATGTAAGACCACATCCATAGGTAATTTTTAAGAGACATGTGAAGAACAGCTAATTAAATATGACAAGTAAATTTCGAATCTATTTCGATATTATAGGCATATTAAAAAAAAAAAATCAACCGAAATTTGATATAATTCAATGTAATAATTTTGGTCTATTTCCCTTGGATGTAGACGGTGTCGTAAAAAAGCCATTATTACTATCGGGATATTATGTAATAAGCTTCTATAGGACGATAATCTTAACAATTAAATTTACGGTTTCGTAATCCTGGCTTTTCACTAGGGGGAAAAAAACCTTAAATGATACATTTCACAACAGCTCTTTAATGGTGGAATGCGATTACGAAAAGTATCGTTATCGTGCAAGATGAACACGGGCGTGGTTAAGGGATACTCCCGCATCTTCCTCCTCGTCGTCGTCGCCGCCGACAGACGCGTTGGGCTAACGGTGCTGTCAAAAGTTACGGGAGCGAGTCGAAGCACGCTCGACGATCTGCGTAATGCGATGCGAAAAGAAAGGGGGCGGCTGGGTGAGATGAGAGGAGAAATACCACGGGATCGTTCGCACTTTGGGCAAAAGATGCCTAATAAAACGATGCTTACGACTCTCCGGCCTCGGCACGCTCCTCGGCGCGTTCTAGATCGGCCTCAACCATGGCCAATTTACGGGCGACCTGTATAAACGACACACACATACGGTTTCTAACATATGTTGCCTTCCATCACATCCTCCTCCTCCTCCCTCTCCTCCTTCTCGGCGACCTCGCCGCCTCTGAAAGCTCCGGAGGCGGCGGGATGGCGAGACACCGGCGTCTCGTCGCCGTCGCCGTCGTCGTTGTCGCCGTCATCGCCGTCGTAGCCGTGATTGGAAGAGTTACGATCTTCACGAAGATTCTCTCTCTCTCCGTATGCGCTCCGTAAGCGTCTGCTGACGAGCTCGCGGAAATTCACAGTATTCGCGCGGTGGCATTTGCATTTAACCCGCGGACATGCAAAACTGCAGTGAGGAGGAAAAGAGCCACGCATCTCTTAATTAAAAATGTGATAATAAGCTTCAAATGCAGCTATTTGGAGAAAATTTATCGTTTTTTAATGCAGCCTCTTGGCAAAATTCAACGAGCGATTCCACTTTTCGTACGCTCAAGCATATTTCCAAAATTTCACTCGGATTAAAACATGTTAAGACGGCGGACTAAATTGTTGCATTAACGCCGATTTTCTCCGAGCAATCTTTTTGAACGGTCGCAAATGAGTAGCTTCTTCCAATCGGCCACGCCGTCGAGCAACGAACGATCAGAGATACAACACGCAAGTCGTGTCACGCAAATTGCAGCTCATTCCTGATGGGCTCGTAAGCGCATGTAAGAGAGCAATGTAGTCACGCTAAAGAAGAAGACCATCGTAGAGTGGAACTTTTAGCATCTTTCAGCAGTGGCTGACATACGTTAGCTGTGACTACACGTGCCGATTGTAACTCTGTTTTACGACGATCTTTTACTCATGCAGTACAACTTTCGCACAACCGCGACGCGATCGATCGTAAAATTTTCCCAAAGAAATTTAAACAAAGATTTGTAATTTGTATGGATTTGGGCCTCGTGTTTTCTCGCTCGTATCTCTATCATTTAACAAATTTTTTTTTGTTACAGTTATCATGAACGATCTCTGCGCGAGACATAAAATCGTTTGTTACGTTGAATGAGATTCAGCGTAACAAATCGACGCATCAATCCGACTTTTCATAGTCGGTATAATTGCTCTGCGATTGACTCGTGCGATACTTGATAAAAAGAAACAATTGTGATCCCAAGGCAATGAAAAAAAGATTTCGTTCAAGATTTCATTGTTGAGAAAACGGGAAATCGACCTCAATCGCGTCGTTGATTTTAATTTATGATAACTTATAATTGTTTCAGCAAAATTCATCGATTTCGTAATATTTAAATCATTTTACGATGGAGTTGCGTCGCGTTTTCGCGAATGAATGACGAATAAGTCATTTTAAACATATATGCAAAAAAATGAAATTAACGAAGATATCGGCACACTCAGTTGCTGTTAGAACTTGTCGTCATCTCTGTCAATTTCTGTAACGGTTAGGCAGTTAGGTCGTTAATTAAGAGATCAAAATAGGCAATTGAAGGTAATCTATCTACTGAAATAATTAAATAAAAAATAGACGATTCGATTAATGCAACAGGATAAATTCTCGCACACGATTAGTTTTTTGCGCATACTATTAATTAACGATGATTTAACAAATTGCACAGGACGTCATCGGATGGAGGAGATAAATTCGTTGAAGTTACGGTGAGTCTACAAGTTCTGATGAAAATATCGAAGAGAGGAATTCTCCGATAACTATCAATTTGCAAAGATTTTTTTAAATCAAAGAATGATAAAATGCGATTAAAAATAAATAAAATTTACATTTCTCAAATTAATATTGCAAAAAAGGAGAAGAGATATGAATATGTGTGTCACGTATACATAAAGATTAGATAATTAAAATTATATTGATAGATCATATAATTTGCAATAATGGACGTATCATGCAGCATGGCTGGGAAAAGATTTCGAATCTCGTTGGGATATCTTATCCCAACAAGATAATATTGTAATCTCTGAGTAGATAAATAACAAAGCGTGTGTCACCGTAATTTCAACGTTGTCACGACCAACACCTACCATCACAACTCTCTCGTTATTTTAACGCATCACATTCGGAATTCCAGCAAAGCGAAACGCGCTCGTCTCAGTAAAAGACAAGCTTGACAAAAACAGCACCATATTTCGTTGACGCGGAGCCGCGATAAAGCCCTCACGCGGTATTATCACAACACAATTGACGATACTTTTGTTAAATAAAACGAGGCCGGTCTCGGAAAAGCGAGCGACAGACCGAACATACGGACCAATCACCATGACGATTTTAATATCCGCCGAAGAGATCGAATTATTTTATCATAAACGCGCGTACGAACTTCTCCGAATTCTCGATCGCGCGGCCGTCTCTAATCTAGAAGTATCTAACAACAGGAATATATATGTAGCAATAACAGGATTAAACTCTATTTATGAAACTGGCACTTGAGACGTTTTATCGTAGCTTTTATCGTAACCGAGAAAAAACACTTGGAAATCACAGATACCCGATTTTACGTGAGATGCGCTGGTAAAACACTGCATTCTCATACGTATATCACCACTCTTTCTTTCTTTCTTTCTCTCTCTCTCTTTTTCTCTTTCACCGTTTCTTCTCGCGTAATTCCTACAGATCTCTAAATTCTTCTATACGTTAACAACAAGATGAAAAGACCGATTTTTTGGAACACTGCACTGTCGCGAACATGTAAAACTCTTCGAAAAGAAAAAAAAAAATAAAAAACTTCACTCGCAGGCCAGATCGCAATCACAGATCGACGATTCACGGTTTACCCTTGCTTTTCTCGAAATTTCACTGTGTAAGGCAGAACTCCGTACCTCCTCAACCTTCTTATGATCGATAGGAACCCTTGTTTCGCGACGCGCATAAACCACCCGCCCCGTTTTTTCTAACGCGAATCTCGGCCGACCGACGAATTAACGAATGAGACACGCGTCTCTCCTCGCGACGGAGATGCATATCGAATCACGGTTGTTTTTGAGCACACAAAGAGAAGACAGAGAGTTATAGGGTTAGGCACTATTTTGACTATCGACTAGGAACCGTCATCGTCATGATTATCATCGTCACTGCATCCAACACGCTTGACAGTAGTAGTCGCGGGCGCGCGAACCTCATCGTATTTCTTGTCGGCTTCTTCGGCGAGGAACCTGGCTTCCTTCAGCTGGTTCTCGAGGGCGTCCATACGCTCTTCATCTGCCAAGCTGCGATTCTCGAGAATCTTGCGGGCGCTTTAAGATGGACACATGTCGAACGAAAGAGTTCACGGTTAAAAAAATTGATTATACAAGCGGGCTAAAATTAAAAAAGATAGAAAATCCATTTTGGATGACTTGGTTGAAGAACACCTGTTCAGCTCAGCTCACAACGGCGGCCTACTACTTGTGATGTTTTCCTAAAAGATAATCCCGGAAAAGAACTACCAGACAGATTTGGACGATCTTTTTCTTATAGAGATTACTAATGAGGCGAAGATAAAATTCCGTTTTAGCAGAGATTTTCTTATTTTTTTCCCATGAAGATGTTCGAGTAAATAGTAGATAAATATTTTTACATTTGCGAAAACAAAATATCGCAAAGTGTCACTGCCTTAACGTCTCAAACACGGTTGGCAGTTCGTTTCCGACAAAGGAAAATAAAGGGTTCTCTGGCCCTTATACTTTTCGCTTTCTTCGTCGGTACATGACCCACCTCCTCGTATTTTTTATCTGCCTCCTCTGCGATCAGTTTAGCCTGTGCTAGCTGCTGCTCCAACAAGGATACTCGGTCGTCCTCCATGTTGGTGCGGTTTTCGAGGGCCTTGCGTATCCTAATGATCGATCGTTCGTCGATTTTTAGAAACAAATTAATCGCCGTTGAAAGAATGATCATTGTTACACATTCCCCGACCATCAACTAATTTTGAATTTTTTTTATAAAATCCAATTTTCAATTTTTTCTGTAACTTTCCAAATTTGTTTGAATATTAATTAATCTTTTCAGTTACAAAGACAACGCGCACCTCAATTTCTCCTTTGTGATAAACTATTATAAATAATATATTTCTATATTTTATAATAAATCATAAAAATAATATACATACTAAAGAAAATATTTAATAATTTTTCTCTCGTACGTGAGAAAGTATATATCGTATATAAGAAGTATAAAGCATGTACACGTCATTCGTTATCAACGACGATAAGCAACCCTGGCGTTATTTTAAGCATTTAAGTACTGTCGTCAAGAAATCATAATCAGCAATTAGATTTTCAAAAAATTACAAATGTATTTAATGACCATTCTTTATATTCAGTACTCTTTACGCACTTTATCAATATAAATTATAAAAATCAAATCGAATTGAAACAATATAATGTTCCAAATTCTTTCACAATACAAATTTAATTATTTTTCAAATAATAAATAATTAATGTAAAAGAATAAGAATTCAGAAATTATTTTCGATTGTAGAGGAAGAAAATGAGTACTATCAAGTAAATCATTGTCATGACGGATGTGATATCGTTACAAAAAATAAGTCAGGATGTGGTGTTTCAAATCCACAAGATTTCATTTCGATTTCATTTCAAAGACATCTCCGAATGCAAAGAGAAAAAATATTGCAAACTATTTCTTTCTTATATTATCTTTTAAATTATATACATTAATAATTGACTGCTATTTTTACAATAATCAGGCAATCTTTTTGTGCATGTATATCTATAATCGAAAGCGGAATTGATATAATAATTAGTGCGAATTTCTGCACTTATCATAATAATATATATGTGTAACTGGAATAAAAGAACTATTATGTTTGGCTCTATAATTGGCACAATGTTAGTCATACAAAATTGTAACGTTGCAAAGTTCAATAATTGAGTCATGGAAAGAGGAATCAAAAGACATTCAGTTTTTTCCTTGGATCAAATTTTACAATATATAAGGTGATATAAAAATAATTACGAGAAATAATTAGTTTAAAAATAAAAAAGGAATACTAAAACTGTCACTCAGAATTATTATATATAAAATTTTCTATAATATTTATTACGTTATAATATGTGCGTAAAGAATACTCATAATAAATTTATAGCAGAAGTGATATAAATTATATATAAATTTTGAAATATTTACATATTCAGACTTTTATATCTTTCATTACTTTTGACATTAAAGAATGTCTGGTCATAAAGAATTGTTATGCTTCATGTCACTTGTAATTACACTAATCTTACAAAATATTATAATATGCAGAATTTATTAGCTTTAATTTTATAAAATATAGAACAAAATTGAAACAGTAAGAATATTAATTTATATCACTTTTGCATTTCATTTGTAATTAATTTTTCGATAATTTAAAATTATTCGTACATAATACATAAGAATGATCAAGCAGAAATGTAAAGCATTGTAAATCTTGTCTTTTTATAAATACTTCAATAACTATCCATTTATTAAAGGTCAACATTCATTATTGACTAGCTTGACAATAAGAATATAAAGAATTCTCATGTGAAATCTAATTGTACATATGTAATATTTGAGTCACTCTTAATCATTCTCAAAAAGATAAAAGAGAAAATGTATAACAATGAGCAGCTACTTTTTATTATCGCAAAACACACACACATGTATTTTCGTTATCATAAAAATAATATCAATTAAAATAGTCATCAAAAAAAAAAATAAATATATATATATATATATATATATATATATTACATATTTACATCTCTTCTATTTTCTTCTCTCATTTATTGATAACTGCTCATTGTGGATAATATATAAGATGATCACTCGCACAAATAAAAAAAAATTTGCAATATTTTCGTTGTTTGCATGATAGCGGACACTTACCGTTCGCTCTCATCGGCAGCTTGCGATGCCTCCGCCAATTTGGCAGTGGCAGTGGCAAGACGTTCCTCGGATCTCTCGAGGTCCTCCTCCAACAGTTGGATACGGCGATTCAAGGCGGCGACTTCAGATTCAGCCTGTAACACACAAGAAAATCCATTTTGAGTAAAATATAGGCTAAAAAAAAATCTGTAATTTTTAGTCTTATATCTTAGCAAAAACGTAGTAACAACAATGTCATTTTTATGGATTTATGCACTTACTAAATTCAAATTCAAATTTGTTACACTATGAACATTCATGTACATTTACACATATTGCATACATTCATATGTACGTATTTTCATAATAATGAATAAATGAATTGAAGAAAAATAAAAAGACAAAAGACAATAATCATAAAAAACTAACAATTGAAATTTAAATGTATGTGTTAGACAATTTTTATTAGAAATAATATAAAAACTGAAGAAAATAAAATACAATAATCATATTATTAAATTTAATGATATTAAATATTATTATTTATGTAATTTAATGTAATTTAATTATATTTAATTAATGTAATTCAATTATATATTCAATTAGCAAATAGATAATATAATCTTTTGCTGCATATATGAAAAAATATCTCGCCAAGTTTGACGATAATTGAGGTAGTTTATACTTATATAAGTAATATAAGATGAAACAATTAATTCGCTGTTATTTCCTGCGGCTTACCGACACAACGGTTGTAATTATACTCATGTCGATGCTGGATTAGTAACGATCTTATATCTAATCTAATGCCGCAACGTACCGAGCGTGATCGGAGTTTGTCGTAACAAAGCACTCGCAGTTGGAGGTTCGAAAAGATTTCTGCGTGCATACCAATGATCCCGGGATGATCTCACGTGTCGCATAAAATCGGATCGAACGGATTATCGCCGTCATCGACCAAACTTTTGACTCGTAAACACACGTTACTTCACCGCTCATCAAATGATACGCCGGGATATCGCTCGCGATAAACGCTTCTAGATTTCATATTGGCGATATGAGCATAGATTGGATTTCTGATGTAATTATAACGTTCGTCATGGCGTCATGGAAATATTTCAGACGGTAAATAAAATCAGTTACGATTTTTTTAACAAAATGCTTATTTTTAAAGATCTAATTAGCAAAATTGAAATAAAATTCTGACAAAGTTGATTTAATTGGCTTTAAATAAATCTATCATTGATTGATATCACTTTTATAAAAACAGAAGCAATCATGTATTTATTATCAATGAGATGATATCTCTCCGTTTTCAATCATTACAGCTAGTATTACAAAATTAATACATGTTAATTAATTTTAGATCGTTAAGGAAGGCTTGATTTCAATCAATTATTTTCAAAAATATATATAATTTGTAATCTTGTTGGTATGAGACTAAGCGAAGCGTGCAATTTTGACGGATGTAAATTACTTAACGGTCGATTACACCTGTATCCGCGTATATAATTTGAGGCCCTTGTCCTCGTTAACTGCACCTGCCTACGATTGTACATCTAGTAAATGATCCTGATTCATCCCGTACGCAAAGAACGTTTCGTTTTACAACGTTACTTTATTATCGGTGCGTGAACTTGGTATTCATGGATTTCGGCACACCTATGTCGATTTTATGGGGATGATGTCAGCGAACTGCTGACATCAGCACGATTGCACAATCATCTAAACGTAACGATATTATAAACCGCGCAGACGAATCATAATTTGATTATTATTAGTGTTGTTATTATAATTTCTAATGATTTTGTTAATTAAGACAAGAGATGCTGCACGAGATGTGTGGAAATATGTTGTATCAATAATATCAGTCTAACTGAAAATAATCTAAATAATGAATAATATTGATGAAATAAATAATTTATAAATTTATATACGCATGTATTTATTAAAATAACGAGAACATTTTCTTACTAATTATGCTGATATATCATTTCTTTTGTCAAGTATCATTTCGACAAAATACGATATTTATTAAGAATATAAAAAAAAAACATAATACACCCGGTTACACAAAATAAAATCCAAATGTATGTAATGTACAATGTAATAAAATTTTTCTCTTTACAAAATTTCTTTGTTTGACGTTTTGAAATGATTGCTTCGCGAGATCATATCGCGTACAAAAAACATTTACATTTATATTTATTCTATAATCTCGGTAGGGCGTTTCGCCTGCTACCATCGAACTTCCGCAACGAATTAACGAAGGTTCAACGAGTGTGGGATTCAACCGGCGTAGCTCTTCGTCGCTGTTCTACGCAACGTTACGCACGCTTTTGTATGACTTTAACCGACTCGATGCAACTTTGTGTTTGGAGGAAATCGGCACGCCCATTCGTACTTGTGCCGAATGAACAGGTCGTCGCATCGACGATGTCCATAGCAAGTGCTGGTAAGTATGCCAAACTTCCGCTTCACCCGACCCTTTCGGGTAGCCTTCCATCACGATCCATTTAATTCGTCCTGCAGTCTGAACGACATTGACGGCGATTATTAGGGATCGGTGATAACTTGATAAATCAAATATATTTTCAGATTGGATCGACGTTAAACAGTTTGATATTTTAACGAACACAAAATCGAAGTGAAAGATCGGAAATCACAGTTTTGTTTGGAAACGAAAATGATCGATTTGAACAATAGATAAGAAGCATTTTTTTTTTTACTTGAAATGGACAAGTGACTTAAGATAAAATGGCAGTCTCTTCTCTTGTTTCTCTTCTCCAAGAAGTAATTCTCTAAAAATCATTTAAAAATCATTACTTTGCAATAATTTACACATTTACAAAAATCCGAGAGATCCCACGGACAAATAAAATCCCTAACTTTATTATCTTACTTTTGTCCAGTGTGCATGTGTAATCAAAGTCAACTTTCTGAGCTGAAAAGAATCGCGATGGACAATGTTATTTTGCTCACGTGATATTGGTAGAGTAGTCGCGTCGCGACTGCCATTTGTTTGTAAATTCGTTTCAAGGCGTCGCATGAAACGTCGAGAGGGAGACATCGGCATTCTGTTATGTAAACTTCTCGGCAATAGAGATACGGTCACTCCTAATCCACGAGATATCGCTTTCGCGCCTGATCAGTCCGCCGATGTGCGAGCAAATCAATAAGACTTGCGCCTTATCGCGCCTTCATATCCTCTCGTCTGAACGACGATAGTTTATAATTGAATCAACTTATGACACGGCGCATCGCTCATTATCATTGCGTCGGAATCGAAAAAGGGGGAGGAGGGGGGAGGGGGAAGAAAAATTACGGTGTCGCGCGGTAATGCACTTCGCTGCTCCGCGACAAAAGCGTATTAATGCGGTCTGATCGAGTCTGTCATGTTGGCCTTTAAAACGTGCTGCTTCTACACACTATCGAATGCAGTCTGCCGCGAATGCGCATTAAAATTTCACAATGAATTTTTGCATTGCTGCACCGGAAAATGAAGCGTGTGCGTTACATCACGCTGAAATGGAAGTATAGTCTTGCAGCCGACGACAGGAAAAATTCACGAAAATTTATCACATATTCATTCATAGTCATTCTTTAACATAATGTATATGGAATTTATATTTCATTATGTCTCCTATAAATGCAATAGATTTTCGTACATGATATACAAGTAGAAAATAGTTAATTGCAAAAAGATGGCTAGAATATACTAGCAGAATATACTGAAAGATAAAATACGACAGGATATTGAAACGGTTGATAGGCTTCTTCGATACGGTCTGGTGACAAAACAAATGTATCTACATTCTACACGATAGGAACGACATATCCGGCATTTTATGCAAATATTTGCGAAAGTTGCTTTTAATGCTGCATAATATTTTATCCTGAAATAAATACTGATATATAATTGATAACGTAATGGAAAAAGGATGTAATTGAGATATTCTATATCTCTACTTTAAATCGCTATTAAATATCTGCAAATGTACAACAGACACTTTGCGACATATATTTGCTCAAGCAGAATGTACAACAATAAGCGACTGATAAATATTACTAGTGAAAAGCATGAAGTTTATTGAAACAATTATAAAAAAGAATTATCTTTCCTAAATTAATTGAGAAACTATTTCAAGTACTTACTGTTAGTAAGTTATTTATTGATTTATAATAAAAAAAAAAATAAAGCGTTTAATACAAGAAATGTATTAAATATCTCCATTTCTGTTTCTAAATATAAGATATTAAACTTTTTTTTAAATTATTAGATATTTCAAAACTGCAGTTTTTTTTTACAAATATTTTGTAGCTTATATTCTTCGCTTATATTAAAAATCTCAAATATAGCTGAAAATAGCTGAAGGATGATTTAATTATTTTAATATCACGCGTGTCGCGGTGTATCTCACAACTTGGGCTTAACACGTTCGCACTTGTTGTCAAGAGTGATTTTGCGGATTAGCCGATTGTAACTCTGATGCTCGACGTCTTCGTGCATCTTGTCGAGTTGCGCGTGTGTTACGTTGCCGTTTGCGAACGAAAAAGGAGCGAGAAACCAGGCAAGATTGTGGTATAAATCCGTTAAATCGAGGCTGATGAACGCTCACCGGGAGGCTCCGGCTCGCCTCACTTGTGCACACTTTGCCACGTAGCTGTATGCTTTTACGCATGCTGGCGTGCTCGTAAAGTAGGCAAAGTGACTTAATATATTGCAACTTCCGAGCTTTTCCCGTAATGATCTCATCTTCTCGTCGCGAAAAATTCTTAACGATCGTATCCATGACATAATTACATATCGTAAAACGTCACGATTCAAATTTCATTTCAAAAACTTTGCTAAAAATATACCTTTGTATGAAACTATTGTACATCCGCGGATCACAAATTTTTATCTTATTTTTTTTTTTTTTTTTTTTTTTTTTAATGAATGGTGAAGCGGTTTTTAATACTCTCTAAATAACATATAATTATGATGTTTTATGATGTATAAGACATAAAAAAAGCATTAATGGAAAGATAGTTCTACATATACAAGTTGAATTTCAATGTTCACATAAAAAATACTATGAGAAATGTATATAATCTTTTAAAACGAACATGTGTAGGCAGTATAACAGATAATTCGAATATGGCATAAGTTTTA